TTGAGTCTATATCATTATCCATCATACCTGAAAGTTTCAAAGCGATAGCTTAAAAGCTGTCCCGACTGGAGTTCGGAGAATTTTGATTTTTTCGTCTAAAATAGAGTGAGAGAAAATCAGCTCTAAAGATTTAGCGCGAGGTCCACGCTTGGCTAGTTGGCTCAGAAAAGGCTCATTTTAGAAGGGTTAAAAGCACTTTCTGACTTTCTTTTTCTGCCAAAATAAAATTTAGGACCCAATCATGCCAAAAATCCAAAAAAAACAAAATGGAGCAATGTACTAAAATTTTCATTTACCGAGACCTTAAATCGTTAGTAAAGCACTACTTTTTTCGCGGTCCGATAAACAACAGGATTCCGCATGGAATAGACAACAAACTGAATGAAACATAGTGCACAAATTATCACCTTCTTGTCCGCAAAAACCGGCCTATGGTGCAATGCCATTAGAGCCCGCTGAAACTAGACCTAGAGTCGAGAGTTCCTTTTCCAAGGTACAATCAGCTAAGCTAAACACCGACGAAACAATATTAATGGCTGGCACAGAATATACATTGCTGGAAAACATCCCGTTCTCGGACTAGAAAGAAAATCGCTTAGTTATTCAGATCCTGAGGCACTTTGGACAAAAATAAAGAGCCTTAAACAGCCTTATTTAGCCACAAAAGAGAGCTTTACGCCTCAAAAGAGGTCAAAGAAAACGCTGTTGCATCAGAGGGCAAATCTCCCTGCTAGCAGAGGTCTCTCACGACGAGAGACCTCTGCTAGCAGGGAAAGGGCAAATCATGGAGACCAGAAATTCAAAAACCATAGAAAATCAATAAGCGTGTCATGACCTTTCAGTGGGAAACAAGAGGCTAAAATCACATTTGCTCAGTCAAAGCATAGAACCCTCTAGAGCATGATCTACTCGCCAGAAAAAAATAATACGTATTGGAAAATGGCAGCATTTTGGCATGAGGTAAAAGTGGTGTAGGTTTTAGTACTGCGAGCAAATCTTGTCCTGAAGACCAGTGTAGAAATCGCTTTGACTTTCTCTTTGCGTAATACTCGCGACATTCCCAGCCGCTCCAATTCCAAAAGACTTGCTTCGACACCTGAGTTAAAATTCGAATTTACGTCCGCCATTTTTGAATTCGGAATGATTCTTTCCCGCAGTTGCATGCAAATGGAAATGGAATAAACAATATAGACTTACCGTTAATTGACAGGCATCAATCTACTTCCCTGTGCCGCACCAATCAGGAGCTCCGTTTGCCAGCGTACGGAGATTCCCAAAAGAACAATGATATCGGGCAGGCGTATTTTTTTTCTCCCCTCGCCCTCCCCCCTTTCCTTCTTTCGCCTTCGCACCTACCCTTAGGGTTACTATTTCTACTCTCCCCAATCTTCCACTGTCACAAAATCAAAGATGGCGGCTACAACAATCGAACACAAACAACTGTTTCGCCCACCCAAAATACGCCTGCACTGCAGGCTAAGTTGATAGCCTTATATGTACGCCCCCAAAATAGTAATTATCTTCGATCACATTTAAGAGCCATCATGGCTCTTGATCACAGTAGATTAGGCCTGGAAAACAAATCAGACCGAATTTTTTGCGTTCGACAAGTTTACTTTACAAAATCTTGCCAACAAGTCTGGGGACGTGTAAACCAACCTTTCATACTTTTTATGCATCAGATATGAGGTGAAACAGTACCATGAGGCGCTGTTTCTATCGTACAGACCTCGGACAGAATGTAGTATTTCACAATTTTGCAATACAAATTGCACCCATTCAATTTTCAGTACGATCGAAGCACGCGTGGGCTCAGTTTTAGCGAAACCGTCAGCAAAATTTCCAAACTCACCTGTACGGCTAGCCGGTTCTCACTTTTGACAAGCGCCAAAGTTTTGAAATTAAGATTAATATAGTTATACGCTTAGTCAACATAATAAAGAATTTATTGTGTTTATTATTTATTTAATGATTTTACAACGATGTTAATCTTCAAAAGCGTTTAATACGCGCGGAATTTTGACCACTCCTGCAAGCGATGTTCATAAGCGACTGAAAACAAATAGGGAAAGCGATTTAAATTGCAAAAGAGACTTCCAACAATCAATAAAAGGAAAATAATTCGGTGAAACATATACAGACAACAATTTTCATTCACGGAGACAAGTATTAAAGTGTCTCTGAAAATCCTTGTTTATGTTTTAAGCCGGCTTCCCCAGCCGGTGTTTGCAAAGATGAACTAGAGGCAAGAAAATCGCTCAAAGCTTTCTTTTACAGCCAGAATTATTACTAAATATTCGTTGGAACGTTTTTTTTCTATCTGCGGTGAGAAAATGTCTAAAGGCTTTTTAAAGTTCTATAGGCTTATAATCAAACCTAATACTCGGTCACTCTCGGTCAGATAATTGTCTCAAGTCTTGCAAACGTGCATAAACCAAATAGCCGCATAAACTACGCTCGACTTCATTAAATGAGATATAAAAAACAAGCATCAAATACCATAATTACTCAGGCTTACCATTCGAGATGCACTGAAAACCATCAAGTAAGGCCAGAATCGCTTCAGCCTTTTCAACCGTCTTACGCATCAAGCAAGGCCTCGGTGGAAAACGAAAACGATGCCATCCGAAATCGGATTTCCGACTTTGTCAAAGCAACGTATTTCTCAACGAAAAACCCAATTAACAAACTAGCCATGAATATCGGAAGAATCTTGATAGCAGCTGAATTTCACTTTGTACATTCAGTGGAAAAAGACAGTTAAAAACATCACAAGTTGACACAAAACTCTCTCAGCTTCAGCTGTCAAAGTAAACAAGAATTAAGTTGCTGCATATTTTTTCCGCATGAACTCACCTGTCAAATTTTGACCAATCAGAGTATAAAAATTGGACGTAGAGCGTGACTTAGGCGTGACCTTGAAGAGAAAAGTCAAAAGCAACTGGCATTTTAATTGTGCGCCACATAAAAAAACAATATATTTCATATGATTTAAAAAAATTAAACTTGAGCCTGCAATCATTTGCAAACTAGTAACTTGTCAGTGGATAACTTCAAAAAGATACTCGACCTCGATGGGTCGACACCTGAGCCTGCGATACCGTCACGTGATACTGGTCAGCGGATACCCTGTTTTGACAGCTGTCAATTGATCACAACATTGATGTGCCATATGTGCCCCAATATCAGTCTTCCTGTGCTCCCAAACTAGTTAGAAAGTGTGCGATTGAACATTGGTTGCCCTGTGGTGCGGACGGACGGGCGGGCGGTGTACGGTCAAGTGATTACCAAATTTTCTGGGATGGGTAGATTTACTTACCCATGGTGCTCCGCAGGCGCACTTCGCGCGCCAGAGCTCCGCTAAAATTAACACCAGATAGATTTTTGGAGCACGATCAAAAGGTGATGAAAGTAGCCGCTACCCAAAGGTAACAATATTGTAGAATTATTCAAAAGGCAACCGGTATTATTATTCATTATAAATGCAAAGAAGATCATCGCAGTTGGAGATGAGGCCTTAAAGCAGTTGGGAACTCAACGGTATGAAAAACGTCGGGCTTGCCGAGATTCAAAGCCTTGCGTCTGCGATACAGATGCAGTCTGTTCTAACCAACGGAGCTACCAAACGAGCTGAGAACGGGCCACTCACAAAATTTTCGGGAAAGATGAACTGGATGAAGTTATGAATATATGAAATTCTTATATTGGAACCACAGAATGAGGAAATAAATGCAAAGAAGATTGTTGCAGTTAAAGATGCAACTTACATGCATTTGCAATAGGAAAGAATGAGATCCTGAGCAGTCGTTTCACTCGAAACACTTGCTTTCTAACCCCCCCCCCCT